TGGCAGACAGATTAACATCCAGAGATGATAGGAAGTATACTGCAGCCTATCGTACATGCATACAACAATCATTCCTAATCATTAATTATACTATATAACATACACTAAAATGGCATTGTAGCCAATCATTAAGAATACATGTACTATGTTCACTGTAGAAGCAGAACCTGGACTCAGTGACACTAGAATACTTCATTCAATACAGGTACAAGTTAAAATCTTAGATTATGTTAATCTCACTGTTCAAATTCCTGAGTTTTTCAGATTTTTTTAAATGTTTTTTTCCCCTCAAATATTCCAGGTTTTGCCTGATTTCCAGAGTTGCTGGGAACCCTGTTATACTACTCGTTTTCAATTAAACAACAAATTTGGACTTTTAAAGAACCAAATGCTACAAAACAATCCCAACGCTTCAAAGACTGCTGATCTGCTGTTCAAAGTGAGCACATAAAGTAAAACAGTGTCACACTGCAATGTACTTTACAAACAGGAACATGGACCCAACACATGAAAATGAAGACAAAAAGCTATGCAGAAACAGACAACGTGCAGCAACATACCACCATGTTGATCACGCTCCTCCATCTCTATGATATTACAGAAGTTAAGTCGCATGCATAGATGCACCAGCAGACATGCACGGTCTTCTCCAAACAAAAGAAAAGCTCTCGGCTCAATCTCCTTTCGTTATGACTCTGCACACATTGTTCACATTCAACAACTCCTCGAGTCTTATGCAAGTGCTGCGTTCCAGCCAGCCCTCTGGGGTTTTAACACAAACCTGTCTTCTCTTGCATCTTTATTCATTTCAGTGCACTTTGTATAGTGCACAACAGTCATCTCAGAGCTCTGTAATAAATAAATAATAATTAATAATAATAATAATAAATCACACATTATAAAATGCCAAGTGGTAAAAAAGTCAGCAGGTTATATTGAATCTTCACTTTGACGCAACCTCTCATCCTGAGCAGCAGAGCAACACACTGGTGATAGTGGAAGAACAACTTCCTTAACTGGAAGAAACCTGCAGCCAAACCAGAACCAGAATGGGGAGCCATCTGCCTCCACCAGCTGGGGTTAGAGGACAGGAAAGAGACGGACGAGCACAGAACACGAGTGCCACATGCAGCACATTATACGCCTAAACTTTTAGACAGCAATCTGCAGAAATGGCAAACAAGCAACCAAAGACCTTGTTTGAACTTTGACCTCGACAGAGCTGGGGTGAAGTGTACACACACGGCACTCCAGGAGGCACATGTGTACCAAGTTTCATTAAACCATCTTGAGTGGATCAGAAGTTATGGCACAAACAAGAGAGCGTTTACAGACGTCCTATACTACATAATAATAATAATAATAATAATAATGTCATCACAATGTCAGCACTGTATGTTTCCATACAATGGCGAAATTAGTCTCTGCATTTAACCCATCCACCACCAGGTGGTGCAGTGGGCAGCTATTGAAAGCGCCCGGGGGACATTTTTGGGAATTAGACGTGCTGCCCAGAGACGCCACGTTACATCATCTTTTAACGGGTGTATAATAATAAAAATTGGTACACACACACACACACACAAGGCAAAATGCAGATAAAACAGCGCTGCCCTTCCATGCAAGGCTTGATGAAGACAACATCACACACCAGAGAGGAACACACACATTTGTCACGCTTCCATCTCTGCACAGTTCAGCAGGTCCCAGGACTGTGTGTGTGTGTGGGGGGGGGGGGGGGGGAGCAGGCTGAGGAACCACAACTGATTCTGATCAACACATTTAATCAAATACACAACAGACAGCATTTTTATGTAACATCACCCTTAATTATTAATGTTAAACCATTTAAGATCATCCTGTGATGAGAAGTAGTGAAGTTAGAGCTGTTTTGTTGAAGATTTAAAATAACATTATATAAATCTCATGCAATATCCCAAGATGTCACACTCTCTCTCTCTCTCTCTCTCTCTCTCTCTCACACACACACACGTACTCTCTCTCTCTCTCTCTCACACACACACACACGTATACATTTATGCAGACACACACCAAAATGGACGTGTGTACCTCTTAATTTTCAAGTCATCACGCTCACAACATGCACAGACAGACGGTACTTCTTTGCTCCACGACGGAGGACAACAATGTGGATGTCTTTATGTCAGCTACAGCAGAGAAATCCCATCTCGATACGTGAGGAAACATCTCAACAGGGAAACGGATTCAACACAACACACTCTTGTGTGTTAACATGCTCCTTTTAAACACATTACTTGTGTAAATACTAGTGGTGTAATGTGATCTCGAAACTAAAACCCCACTAGACTGCCTGTTGAACTGGAACTTGTCCCACAGACAGACATGCACAGCTAACTGACTGGCTAAAATAGACGACTTCTGAAACAAAAAATAAATACTCAGACACATGATTATCTGTCTGTCAGCCTTAACCGCATCTTAAAGTGCCAGTGACATGCTTATCCAACAAATGCAAAAAGAAAAATGAATAAAATTGGCATAATACGCATGATTTTACCTAATCTCTCACATAACTGGTATATGGGGGGGGGGGGGGGGGGAATATGTTAATAATGTTGTCTTTTCAAAAATGCATTAAAAAATATTGATGTCACATGCACTTTTCCAGTTATCTCCTACAGTTCAAAATGCATGTTTTTACGTTACAAGTGTTGTTTCTGGTTTGGACTGCCTTCAGGACTTCCTTGAAAAAGAATTACTTTCTGAAAGTTTTGTTAAAATATCTCCAGTGTTTCATGATATGTTAGTAACGGACACCGCTGTCAGAAGCTATACGTGGGCTATGTTTCAAATGACTGTCATCTAAAAAGCAATACAATTTTCTTTTTAAACCTTTATTTTACCAGGAACTAAATCCATTGAGATCATTAAATCTCTTTTACAAGGATGTTCTGGGCCATGCGCAAGGTGCAAACAAGCCACTACAAATACAGCAACAGTCTTAACAACAGAAACAGTAATATTAAAACACTGTATTTGCAACAAAACATCTGGTAATAAGACATAAAATGCAATGCATGCTTAAAAAATATCACAAGTTAAGACACTTAAATGTTACAGGTGCAAGATGTGACTAAAACCTTTAACAGTTTTTGTTTAAAACTTGATAAAAGGAACAGAAAGACTCCAACCTCAACTTAAGCTGCAGATCATTCCAAGACCATGGGCTGAAATAAGACTCGTCATCTTTGCTGACTCTGTGCACAAGGGGTACCCTTAAACCACAGCCAGCTACTGGTCCTGAGACTGTGTGTTCTGGAGTGAAATGAACTTGGAGTAAATTTTAAAATGTATAAAGCAAAAAAAAATTAAAGCAACATTATGTTTGTCTATATGCATCTGTTCTGAGGGGTAAAGACACAAGACAAACTTTACACGTGATGATTGTACGTCACCATCTGGTTTCAATTTGCAGGACGGAGTTCAAAAGTTTCAACACACCCCTGTAGACTGGATCCAGTCACAGAAGGGGCTGAGCCACGTGTCACTACGAACCCTGCTGCAGGAAGAACACACCTTAAAAGTGGGAAAACTGAGACTGGTTGTCTCACGAATGCCCACATTTACGGTGTGATCTACTCGAGTACGCTTTAGATAAAGATAGGTGGATTTGGACCAGTTTTTAAAGACATGTATATTTTTACCTGCATAGTTTTTAGACATTGAGAAGTTGTTTTTTTGTCAGAGGAGACCCACGCAGGTGTTAGAATACAGCTTACGACGAGTTAGTGGCTCTTTTGAGAAAAAACATCACACATTTGTGCAATACACACACTTGCACATATTTTGTTAACACGTTCAGAATTCAAAAAGGACAAGACGATGAGGCTTTACGACTCAGGAAATGTTTGAGACATTTTGGAGACTCCTATTGCTGCTCTTGAACTTGAGCAGTCGCAGCCACGAGTTACTGGACGTTTCTAGCAGAGGTTCTCAAACTGGGGTCCCAGAACCCCCAGTGGTCCACGAGTCATAGCTTGGCAGTCCACAAAATAAATTACAGTAAATTATTGCATATATATTGTAAGTGCATAAATACATATGGGGGACAAACATTTATGTGTGTGAGGCAGCTGTGGCTGAGTGGTTAGAGCATTTGCCCTCCATTGGGAGAGTTCAAGTCCACAAGCAGTCACATCCCGAACTGGGCAAGACACTGAACCTCTCATTGCCTCCAGTGTGTCCCATCAGTGTCTGAATGTGATAAAGCTCTGATTATTCTCTGTATGAATGGGTAAATGAGGCACAGATTGTAGGGTAAAGTGCTTTGAGCATCTTGATAAGATATGTTCTCATGGCATTTAACTTAGGGGTTAAAATGGCTGTATTTTTTTTATTTATTCTGCATGAGGTTTCTGAGGAAGTCCTGGGACTTCTCCCCAGACACAAAAAGTTGGAGAACCCCTGGATTTGCAGGGTCTGAGACCAGGAGCACTGACACGTGAGCATTCAGTGATAAGGGGGGTGTTGGGACAACTCGACGTGTTTGTTTCATAACACAGTAAGCCCACAGCTAAAAGGCCTCAGGTTCGAACGAGCCTACAGACACCGGGAAAGGTTGGACACCGTCACTTTTCACGAGTTTAACGCTTTCCCGCAATAATCCCTCGCGCTGGACTCCCGGTCAGTCAACGCATCATCACGACCAACGGTTCTGAGCAGCGCGAACATGTCGGTCACGGTGTAAACTATAACCTGATGGAGACATGTCTGACATGACAGCTCCTCTGCTGCCCTGACGTAGCTGTTGGCGTGTTAACCAGATTACAAGAGCACGAGCCTGGTTAAATAACCGCCGAACAACCACCACGGTGGCATCGTTTCCTGTCCGCAGACTAGCAGGAACTAGTTCCCCCAGCAAATTCAAACAGGATGAACTTTGACGGGCCTGAGCAGTGAACGCATCATCACAACCGCTGCAGGCTCTGACAGGATCAAACAGAGCAACGCAAACGCACCTTTGTTGGGTTTGGTTCCTTTCACGGGTTTCTTCGGAGCCATGGCTGGTCTGTCAGAACCGAGCAAGCAAATCTGGACTGAAGAGACACTGACGCTTAGGAGCGAGCAATATAAAGAAATCAAAAATCTTTCTACTGTCTCCAAAAACTCAGAAACCCCGTTTACAGAAGGATTGATAGATTTCACAGCCAATGAAACAAAAGGCAGTCAAAAGTGGGCGGGTCTTATCTTCAGAGTGTCCAATAGAATTAAAGCTGCTCGGGGCTTATTCAACCGTGTGGATGGTCGTAGTTGGTTCCGCCCCCACGTACCTTGAACGTGGCAAGATGGTAGATCTCTGTTTTTATCCCACAGCATTCCAAAATAATGCATCTTCAAACGTTCCGTTTATTTACAGCTGCTGAGGTAGAGTTTTACTCTAAACACACACACAAAAAAAAAATCAGCTTTAAATAGTACAGAATGTAACGATCAAAATGATAAACTTATTATAACAATAAATCCATCATCACAGGAACAGGAAATACGTCACGTTATGGGATTATTTTTACTGCCTGCAAACTGTCATAACACCAGTTATTACCGTGATCAAATGTTTGTGAGCAATGTTTGCCTGTCCAGTCCTTAGAAATGTTTTTAATGTTGTTTAAAATGTTTCTGTTCAATACTCTGAGATAACTTCTGTTGTGACTTGGCTCTATATAAATAAACTGAACTGAATTAAAAATGTCAATTAACCAAACATTTGCTACCACCATCCTGCATGTTATTGCGACTTCATTTGTTTAACTCAGTACCTGATAGCATTGAACACTGAGTTATTTTTTCCCCCGTGTCTGTTAGCAAAATATCTCATGAGCAGCTGAATTAAGTTTAAATTGAATTTTGCTAAAATCAGTGGATGTACGTCTACAGCTGATTAACTTTTGGATTCAACTTAATCCAAGATGACCATCACAGCTAAACTACCTCAGCAAACACAAACATCTCTATAACTCTGTCAATTATACAGATATTGAGCTAAAGTTTGAGGTGATGTTAGCTGACAGTCATTCACAACTGAGTGTCACATCACAGAAAATGTTGGTTACGTACTGTTACCCCAGATTCTATGAGTATAGGCGTAGCCCTTTAAAGTTGTCGCTGGTGGGTTATCCCGTCATGCAAAGCATCGCACTGAAAAAATTTAGTCCACGCCCACCTGTTGTGTGGGCCCCACCCGGTCCGTATAAATTACGTTAAGAGCGGGAAATCGGCTCCCAAAATAGCTTTTTTCTTCAGCCATTCAGGAGCCAGTGAGGCCCGACGCTTAAAGGGCTACGCCTATACTCATAGAATCTGGGGTTACAGTACGTAACCAACGTTCTATTTCGTATAGGCTTCGCCCTTTAAGAGCTGTTGCTGGTGGGTTAAGGGCGAAGCAGATGTAGTCTCCACCTCAATGGCGAGAGGAGGGGTGCAGCTTGATCAGATGGCGCACAGTCTCTGACACCTCCTCCGACTTATTTGATTTCTCGAGCATGGCCTTGAAATTGGCCCTGAACAGGGCGTCCGCCGTGATGGGGCCCTCCAACGAGTCCATCTGCAGCTTCTCCGACAGGGAGGGGTAGTGACAAAGCCAGGTGGACTTCTGAACCATTGTCATCCAGACTGCGATGCGAGACAGGCAGACAGCAGACGAGGCGCACAGGTTGAGGGTGACGTCAGACACCTTGCAGAGGGAGCTCTTCGTCTCCTCAGGCAGGTCTGTTCCCTCCAGCCTCTGAGATGCTGTACGTCAGCGGCGCAACATTATTGTTCGCTGCGGCCGCCTGGAACGCATACTGGTGAGCTCGGTTGGAGAGCGACGTCATCGTCTGGTCATGCTTCCCCAGAGGCACAGGACGCTGGTCTAACCTGGACATCTTGCTCCGAGAGCCTCCACCAGGCTTGGCTCCAGGGGGGCATCGAGAGAAATTCCGCTCAGTAAAACCCCTCCACTCTGGTGATGGGCGCGAATGTGGAAACCAGCGCTCTCAGTCTACCAGGTCTGGCTGTAGCCTCGGTCCAGCACGACGTCACTGCTGGGAAATGAGGCCAGAGGGGATCAGGACGGCGAGCCGGGGTGGAGCCAAAAACCTTCCGGCTAGATCATCTGATCTGGGCGGGGGGAGGAGAGGGATGGAATTAAGTCCCTTCATGTCAGCCGCCTCCTGGATTATGCCGGGCAGCTCCGAGAGGAGGGCACCGACAGCTGGGAGCGGTGTGGTCACTGTGGGAAAAGGCCCGTGGGGGTGGGGGGGAGCATCAGCTCAGCCCCCCTCGTTCCGACACTACGCTCTCCAGGAGGGAGTGAGCAGCGGGGGCTGCTGCCGACGTTGCCTGTCCCGGAAGAACCATCCGATTCGCTCTAAGAGTCAGCGTTAAAAAGAAAAAAGGGTCAATGGCGTTGTCCAGCGGGTAGCGACCCGCCACTGACAAAAATATTCCTCTGCGCTTACCTTGAAACAAGGCTGCTCGTCTGCTTCTCCTCGGGGATGAAGAACCTGAAGGGAGTGGGGCAAAAAGTGTGTGTGCTGGGTGAGTGGGGTCCTTCATGAAGCAGGTGACCCTCTTCCTGCATCTGGAGATGTAGATGTCTGTGATGGTGGGGAGGCTGACTCCAACAGACTTCTGTGCAGCCTTCACCACTCTTTGTAAAGCTTTTCTTTCTGCAGCTGTGCAGCCTCCATGCCACACGTTGATGCCGGAGCACAGGATGCTCTCCACTGCACACCTGTAGAAGGAGGTGAGGACTGAGCTTCCCAGACCAGCTCGTCTCAGCCACCTGAGGAAGTAGAGTCTGTATGTTTCTTAAGTGAAAAGTGAAAAAAAAACAAAGTACTCCAAATTTCCTAAACATAGCAGAAGTCGCTGATTTCACTGATTTCAGTACATTGTCTTTAGAAACAAAACCCCATAATTTTTTGAAGAAATCCATTCATTTTCCTTATTTATACAGATTAGTCATGTTGAGACACGTCTGATTTTCAAGAGACGTTATACAAAAATAAAACAATAAAATACATTAGTATATATAATGCATACGTCCTGATATCTGTCATGCCAGAGGTTTAAACAAAAAAATTTGACTGTGAGAAATAGCAGGAACTGGGGTTATAATAATAACACCTAGTTTATAAATCCTCAATGGGGAAATTCATTCTTTGCATTTTTCCCATCACACACTTGGAGCAGAGGGCTGCCGCCCATAAGGCAACCGTGGAGCAGCTGGTGACTTAAGTGTCTTGCTCAAGGGCACAAAGTGGGGCAAATAAGATTGGAAGCAGGTGTGGCTGCTTCACCTTTCCCACCAAACGTTTATGCACCAGTCTGTGGATTCGAGGTGGTGACCTCCCGCTAACCTCCTCATCACTGTTCCCTCCAACGCACATGTGATGTTACTGTACATATTAATGCGGTAGCACTCTTAGTACATCATGAGATAACTCCAAGCTACTACCAGTCTAAATTTTAGCCCAGTATCTGTAAAAACAGATTGAGTCATTTTTGTGTTTGCTACAGCTGATTAGCTGTGGCAGCCATCTTGATTCACGTTTGTCAGTTTGTTGTAGATTCAGTGATTACGTTCAGTGGTTCATTTAAATATGTCCAGTGACTCAAGACTTATTTTGCTAACAGACACATTAGCACAGACACCTTTGGTGGTGAGCCATGTTGTTTCAAAAAGAATAAAGAAAGGGGTGATATATGTGTGTTTGTGGAAAAATAGTAAAGGATCAAGTATCTTCCTGCACATTAAGGGCACAATGGGTGTGTTCATACACCATACCATGAATGTGTGTGTGAGTTAACCAATCACTGTAGGCTGAGTGATTAAATCAAAAGAACAGAAGGGTTTTTGATTGGCTGATCCACTGTGCTGCAAAGAAGCAATTCTTTTTCTCTTATCTAATGCTGGAGTAGTTTTCTTAGCGTGGGGGTCTGCATCCTGTGGCTCTGGAGCCAGGTTTTGCTTTTAATTGCTTTGTAGTTTGGAGCAAACATAACATGGAAATGCATATTTAGATTTAGAAAGCTCATCACTCCTTAAAAGAATGCATAGCAATCATTGTCTTTTCATTAACCTTACTTTAACCAGGCAAATCCCTTTAAGATCACAGATCTCTTTTGCAAGAGAGGCCTGGGCCTGAAGGCAGCCTAACATGTTATAAGCATGTTCTGGACTGTGGGAGGAAACTGGAGAAAACCCCATGCAAACATGAGGAGAACAAACAACCTCTCCACCAAAAGATCCCAGGTCCAAACCACTGAACCCAGGTCCCTTCTGTGAGGCATCAGGGATTTAACAAGCAGTTGTTCTTTAATTGCCGAATTTTGATTGTCTGATGTTGAGGAATGACAAAGTTCTAGTCGTGTTTGTCAAAGCTTAAACATAATATGTGCAGTCTTGTGAGTGGGCTATAAATCACCATCTCCTACACTCAATTCTAACTAGATGTTAAGCTCCTGTTGCACCTGTCTCCAATCTTAATCACCCCAGGTGTCTTCTGGTCCCATCTCCAGCTTGGTCTCATCAGCTGCAGCCTCCCCAGTGGTCTGGGGTCCCCATTATAGAAGATTTTTCTGTTCTTGTAATGTTTTGCTTTCTGTACCCTGACTGGTTATGAATGAAGCTTTGTGTTGTTAAATTTGATTAAATCTACAACTGATTGTCAACTTTTTTTCCACAACAGGGGTTTGAGAATAATCTGCATGGGAATTCAGTTGCATTATTAGTTTAAAACTTTGAACTCCACACTCTGGTTTTGGATTGAGAAAGCTTCTTGAATGAGACACAAAAAGTATCCAACTCCACAATAAAAGTCCAGTTGCTTTGTTTTTAAATAATATTGGATCCAGTGGACAATTCTTCTGAAACTCTCAGTCAGTATTTATTGAATCTACATCTAAACCTGATAAAGATTTGGAGACAACCCAACTCAAGATGACTGTCACAGCTGTATATCCTGGAAAACAAAAAATAGCCATAACTCAGTCAATGTCCCATATATTTAGGAAGAGAAACACTGGGGACTGCATGAAACACAAGGATTAAAGAAATGACAGGACAAACATAGATTCCCACCAATCATGGTCAATAAAAACTGGCATTCTTTACGAAAATGTAAAGGTGTACT